GGTGGGTGAGGGTGAAGCCGGCTTCCCCGCAGCATCCCTGCTGCCCCACACTGCCCAGGGCAGGGAGACGCCAGGGCCACTCCGAATCCTGTTGTGAGCTCCTAAATTAATCCTTGCATCAAGGAGCAGCCCCGCCAGCCCCGGGGAAGGGTCTAAGCTGGCTTCCTATGGCCCCACGGCCGGGCCAGCAGGAGGAGGCCACCCCTGCCCTCCCCTCTGGATGTGGAGACACGAACCGCAGCCAAAACCTGTCCTTGCAATCCAGTCACAGACCAGCGGGGAGGCCCTGCCAAGACGCCAAATCCCAGTGGGAACCAGCGCTAGGAGGTGCCCAGGGGCCCGGGGTCCCAGATGCAGCCCCAGCCCTCGGACTCACCGGTCTCCGATCCAGCCGGGGTTGCAGTGCGAGCACTTGCCATTGATGTGGTTGCAGGTGTGCCCGTCCTTGCAGGGCGGGCAGAGCTGCTCGCAGCCCTCGCCGTAGAAGCCGGGTGAGCAGGGCTGGTCGCACTTGGTGCCGTTCCAGCCGGCCTCGCACGTCAGGCAGCGCCCGTCCGCCACGGTGCAGGGCTGCAGGCTCTTGCACTGCCCACAGCTACGAGGGAGGGGGGACACGTGTTGGGCACCCCACGGCAGCTCCGACCGCAGAGGGGCCGGGGACAACATCTCAGTTATCACGGAAGGGCTGAGGTTGCAGGGACCTCTGGGGATCATCCAGTCCAACCCCCTGCTCCAGCAGGGACACCCAGAGCACGGGGCACAGGATGGCATCCAGGCGGGTTTGAAGATCTCCAGAGAAGGAGCCTCCACAGCCTCTCTGGGCAGCCTGTGCCAGGGCTCTGGCACCCTCACAGCAAAGAAGTTCTTCCTCACATGGAGAGGGAACTGCCTGTGTTTTAATTTGTACCCATCACTCCATATCTCCCACCCTTACCCCAACCAGCCCCATCTCCTGTGCTCAGCCCTCTACCATTGACATTCCCCGAAATCACGTGCCCCCTGGGCAAGCCCTGGATGCTCCCTCTGCCTTCCCGGAGACCCAGCACGCGGGACACCCCTGTCCTGCCCACTCTCCCCGCCCTGTTGTGCCCGGGCACTCACCGCCTGCGGCAGCCTTGCCCGTAGAAGCCGGCGGGGCAGGGCTCACGGCAGTACTTGCCCCGGTAGCCCGGCTCACACGTGCAGGTCCCGTCCACCTGGTTGCACTTGCCCTTGTAGCACTGGCAGTAGCGGTCGCAGCGGGGCCCGAAGGTCCTCTCGCGGCACTGGCAGCGCCCCGTGAACTGCTCGCAGGGCGAGTTGTTGCAGGAGCACTGGTTGTTGCAGCCGCGGCCCCACCAGCCCGGCTGGCACAGGCAGTTGCCCGTCTGCTGGTCGCACTGCGAGTTGTGGCTGCAGTAGCAGGAGCTGGAGCACTGGGGGCCCCACCAGTTGGGCTCGCAGGTGCACTTGCCCGTGCGCTGGTCGCACTTGCCGTGCTTGCAGAGGCAGCCGTTCTCGCACTTGGGCCCCCAGCGGTTGGGGTTGCAGGTGCACTGGCCTGTCACGTCCTCGCACTGGCCGTTCGGGTGGCAGCTGCACATCTCCTTGCAGTCGGGACCCCAGAACTGGCGGGGACACTCTGCGGGACAGGCAACCCCGGCCGGGGCATGCAGCACCTCCCCACGTCCCCCCTTGTCCAGGCCACCAACCATGGAGCCCCCTGTCCCAAATGGGCCATGCTCCCCACCAGCCAGGGCACCATCCTCCCTCCTCACAGCCCCATTTAGAGGCCTGGGTCACAGGAGATGCCCCGAAGGGATGACGTCCCAGGCACCAACCCAGGAGCTGGTGAGGAGGACCGAGCAGGAGGATTGCGATGAGGACAAGCAGGGCCCCGGCCACGCCACGGCCACATGGTGACAACAGCCGAGGCTTTGGGTGACCGGTGCCCACTGAGGCCGGGGCTGTGGGGTGTCCCCGGCCCCCAGAGCTGGCAAAGGGGCCCCTAGTACTCACTGGTGTCGCAGTTGGCGCCGAAGTAGCCGTGCCGGCAGCGGCACTCGCCGGGCCTCACGCACACCTCGTTCTCCTTGCAGGTGAAGTTGCCCTCGCACACGGCTGCACAGGGGGACAGACAGCGCCCGTGAGCGCGGGCAGTGCCCGGCGGCTCGCGCAGCCTGGCCCCACCAGGGCCACCGGACACGTGTCCTGGGCCAGCAGGCAGGGGGCCCTCACCAGAAAGGTGCCACCAGCTGCCTCACTCAGCTCTGGCCCTGCCACCAGCCCCTTGCACCCTGCTCAGCTGTCCCTGTCACCTACCACCCTGCTCGGCTCTGTGCCCATCACGCTGCTCTGCTCTGTCCTTGCCATCATCCTCCTGCCACCTCACTCAGTCCCATCCCTACCACCCGCCTCCTGCCACCCTGCTCAGCTGTCCCTGTCACCTGCCAACCCACTCAGCTCTGTTCCCGTTACCCGGCTCCGCTCTGTCCTTGCCATCATCCTCCTGCCACCAGCTCCATCCCTACCACCAGCCTCCTGCCACCCTGCTCAGCTCTGTCCCTGTCACCTGCCACCCTGCTCAGCTCTGTTCCCGTCACCCCGCTCCGCTCTGTCCTTGCCATCATCCTCCTGCCAACCCGCTCCTCTCCATCCCTGCCACCAGCCTCTTGCCCCCCGTGCTGAGCTTCATCCCTGCCACCAGCCTCCTGCCACCTCCCTCAGCTCCATCCCGGCCTCTTGCCGCCCTGCTCAGCCCTGTCCCTGCCACCCGCTCCGTTCCGCTCCGTCCCTCAGCGCAGGCAGCCTCGCTCCCAAGGGGCCGGGCAGCTCCCGGCATGGCTGCGCAGAGCGGGACGCGCTGCCAGCCCCCGCGATCCCGCGGGACGAGGCTGACGGGCCCCAGGCCGCGGCAGAGCCGGCCGGACCACAGCGAGAGCAAGGGCAGCCGCCTCGGCCAGTCCGCCTTACCTGCGCGTTCTTAGACCTACGGTGGTGGGGACTATAGAAAACCCTAAAATAGACAGATTAAACAGGTTAGGAGCAGTGAGTCTAAGGGTTAGAGCAGGGTTGGGGGTGAGGGGGCAGCCTGAGGGCTCTTCCTGACGCCCTGTCCCCCCGGCCGCTCCTGGGAGCTCTGTCCCCGCTGCTCCCGAGGGCGCCGTGGACGGGGCTGGCTGCGCGGCGCAGTCGCATGCAGCGAGCGGTTATGGGGCCCATGCGCGTGGGTTAGTTTGTCGGGCGGCTGCTCCGTGGCACCAGCACCAGCTCCACGGCCGCCGCTCCTCCGCCGGCCCCCGGCTCCCTCCAGGCCGGACTCTCTTCGATGAACAACAGCCTCATGTGACCATTCCCAGTGCCCGAGGCTGGGGCTCGACTCCGAGTGTGGGAATAACACCCATGGGAGCCTTGTTGGTCCTGTCCCCAAGACCGCCCTCTCCTTCGCCTTTACATCCCCGAGCTTTTCTGGGCCCTGGAGGACACCTTGTCAGCCCCTGGGTTGACAGCAGGGTCCCCAAGAGCTCATCGGCCTCCTGCAGACCCAGGGAGCTGTCAGAGCAGCCAAGGGAGGAAGGCAGGGACCTGGCTCTGCAACAGGGGACCCCAGGACACAGGGGACCCCAGCGCTCGCTGCCCCCTGTCCACATGCTGTGCACACACCGATCTTGCTCCACGCACTAGGAGAAAGGCAGGAAAGTCTCTAGGCTCTTGGAGCATCGGAGTCCCGCTGCGCACAGACGTCCCTCGGAAAAGGCTTTTGGCCACCGAAGAGCAGCCTTTGGCAAGGTGAAGAGGGCTCTGCAACGGGTGCCCAGAAGAGCAAGGTCTACCACAGCAAAAGGCCAACACTTACCTATTAAGCACTCGTTTCCTTGTTGCCTCCATCCCGGGCAGCACACGAGCACCGAGAGGCTGCACGAAAGAGAACGCGCATGGTAACAACCCCCGCAAAGCCCCGGTCCATCCCGAGCGGCCACCGCCGCAGTGGGACCAGCGCGTCCCGGCTCCTCTGGAGCACCTGCTGCAGAGCAGGGCCCCGGCCCCGCTGTCACGGCCCGGGATACAGTAGGCGCTGGGGACACCTTGCCCATTCCCCAACACATAGATGCTCCTGCTCCTCTTCTGTTCTCTTCTCCCACCCAAACCAGGCAGCGAGGCCGACAGTGGGAAAAGGAGCAGCTTCCGTGCGGCTCCTTCTTCCTCATCCTTCAACCAGGGAGAATTTGCTCCTGCTCAGCTTGTTTTGGGCACTTTGGGGTAAAAATAGTAGTAGGTTCCCCTCACGGGACGCTTCTTCCCAGGGCTCCCAGCCCGAGAGTCCCACTGCCCTCGGTGCCAGCTGCGAGTCCACGGTGGCCCCACGGAGCTGCACGTCAGGCAGGGAAACACACAGCTCAGGGACGACCTGTTCCCCTCCAGCTGGTGCAAGGACACCTGGTCACCCTCTGTCACCCACCAAGGGATGGCCTGGTTAAAGGGGAGCACTTCTTGCCCCTGGGGCACTCATTGCCTTAAGACGTAGAAGCACAAACGTCATCCAAAGCCAGGACGAGCCCACGTGGCTCTGGGTCCACACGGATGGGACCAAGCAGTGCTAGAAGGTCCCACATCCCGTCTGCATGGCCCATGCAAGGGGCCCTGGAGACCTCCTTGCTGAGCTCTGAGCACCGTTGTGTGCACCTCATGGCCTGGGCGAGGCAAAACGAGAGCCGTTCACCAGCTCGCAGACCGTCACCATCTGCTTCTCCCAAGGAAACCGAGTGCCCCACGCTCACAAAATGGCTCAGATCATGTTACTGCCAGCCAGGGTTTAAGGCAAGGATAAACGGAGCTTGTTCCTTGACTGAGGCGTCAGAAAATAATATTTAGAAATGAAGTTTCCTAGGAAGAGCCCAGACAAAGCTTTAATGCAGGGGCTGAACATGGCTCGTTGCTTGGCAGCCTCCTGCTCCGCTCCCATCCCAGGGCTGCATCACCCCAGAGGCCTCCTGGGCTCCGGCATCTCTCAGCACCCACGCGGAACTGCCCAGCACAACTAGCTCCGGCTTCTCCGGCTCACAGGGAGCACCCAGCCACCAGGACAGGGCAGGAGACCGGCGGTGACATGGCCAAGGGACACGTGCTCCGTCCATCCTGCATGCACGTTTCTACCACTTTCCCTGCCCAGGGCATCCTTGCTGTCCCGATGGCTCTTCCTGTTTACTGCTGTTTTACAACAGCTGTGAGTTTTGGAGCAATGTAAGGCTGGCAGCACTTGCAGCCCTCACAAGCTTTGAGACCCGCAGCTCTCCTTGCTGGGACCGCACGGAGAACCCACCGACCGCCCAAGGGCGCCTTTTCCAAGTGACCCAAGGGACATTTTCCAAGTTCCTCTTCCTCCGCTTGTTCCTCCACCCAGTGGCACGCGGCTGCCCAGCCAGCACAAGCAGAAGGCAGCTCCTTTCCTCCCAAACCTGAGGGTTTCTTGCACTCTCCAAAGCGCTTCCAGGGGCAAATACTAGGAGCAACGCTGGACTTTCCCTGCCCCGCACCCGGAGACCCTTGGACAAGAGGCTCGTGCCAAAACCAAGTCCCTGCTGGAGTCACTTGGAAAACAGAGGGCCCTTCAGAGCAGGGCTAGGATTTTCTCTGGATACTTTGGCTTTTGCTAACAAGCCCCAGCTGCTGCCAGCTCCAGAGCAGTGTAGGACACTCAGCAAGAGAGGCAGGACATCTTGGCTCCAAATATAACAGAGTAGAGGCCAGCGACTCCCCAGGGAAGAGGAGGACACAACAGGGCCTCTCCTGCGCTCCGGATCCCGCCTGCTCACTCAGCATCGCTGCAGCAACGGGAAGCACCGCGATTTCGTCGTCGTGTCTCTTCTAACGCCGCTCGCCCAGAGCCACAGACAGGCTCAGGAGGCCCCTCCACACGCTCTGCTGCCCACAACAGGGTCCCCGAGACCTCCGGCCAATTCTGCCACACCGGTCTCCATCCCGTCTCCCTGGCCCCCCTGCTCTCACTACCCCATCCACGAGGCAGGAAGCTCCAAGGGGAGCTCCGTGGCCACCGCCGGGACGGGAGCCCTCGTGGAGGCTCCTGAGCCCTGTGCAAGGGCGCTGCAGCCGAGGGAAGCCACCGCGCGGGCTTGCTCGGCCGCCAGCGGCACCGCTTGGAATGCACTTTTTCCTCTCTCTCTGTAAACGTAACAAACGCTAAGGAGGAGGAGGAGACAGCGGGAAAATATTCGGCTGAAACCAAGCGCAGTCACAGGATCATGTGCAGCTGCCAGGGCGGCTCGGGCCGGGCCGGGGGCTGCCCCCGAAACACCGCCTTTCCTAAGGGATGGGGAGAAACTGGGAGGCAGGCAGGAAAGAACCACAAAAATGATTCAGGGCCTTGGAAAAAATGCCTTGCGGGCCGAGACCAAAATAGCTCCATCTATTTAGTCAATCGAAAAGCAGATTAGGAGGCGACGCGGCAGCAGCGCACGAGCAGCTCCGCGCAGGCGCCCGGGCGGCGCGCGGGGTCTCACCGGCAGGGCCGGCGCCGCCAGACCCCAAGCCCCAGAGCTGAGCCAGGAGAGCTGGTGGCCAGGGGGATGATCCATTAAAACCAACCCCCTGGGACGGGCGGGCCGAGGCTCCGCAGAAACACGGGCGCGATTCCTCTCCGCAAGACGCCCTGGTCCCGCAGGAGCCACGGGACTCCGTCCCGGGGAAGGGGATGAAGTCTGAGGACGGGAGAGGGTTTTTTGGACTAAAACTTCCTGCCTGGCAGGTCTCTCCAGGCACGGCCGCATGCTCTAGGGCGCAGGAAATCCTGGATCTCCTCTGCTGCAGTGCTCTGATGCTGCGGGGAGATCCAGCTCCTAGAGCCCCGTCGAGGAGCTGGGATGGGACCTCTGGCTCTTTGTCTCTCGGGTGAAAGCACCTGTTGTTTCACCTGGGATTATTCTCCTTCCTCCAGGCACACCAAGCAGCACAGCCCGGATGGAGAAAGGACCATCGCGGAGGCACCAAACGTCCTGGACGTCTCCGGTCCCAAGCACCCACCAGGTCCGTCACCACAGCCCTCCAACACGGCATGAAAACAAGGCACTAGGAAGCAAAACTGGGCCCTGAGAACAAACCTGAGCGCACACCTGAGAGCCCAGCGCCTTGGAGATGCCAAGGGCATCATCTCGGTGCCCCTTATCCATCCCAGTGCAAGCAATCTCCTCCTCCTCTGAAAAAGGGGGGAAATTCAGGCTGTGTCACCGGTTTCTGGAGGCTGGAGGAGAGGGAATTAAAGCTCCTTTGAGCCTTGCAGGCCCACGGGCTGCTGAAGCCACTACAGCCAAGGCCATCGTGCCCCTTTGGGCCCGTGCAGCACGATGCCCCAAAGATAAGAAAAGCAAAGACAGAAAGGCAAAGCAAAGCAGGTGCTGAGGCCAGGCAGGACGGCCCTGCGGGCCCAGCCTCAGCCTCAGCCCACACACAGCGCCTCTCCCAGGAGCAGGATTAGGGCCTATCTCTTCCGAGATACCTAATCTCCCTGAAACGGTGCCAGGCGATGGTGTCCAACACCTCCTCGGCCAGCCCTCCTCTCATTTATCTGCTGCTCTGACAGCCAATAAACCCGCGGGCGCTTCAAAGCTCAGCTTATCTCCCCACAGCGCCCAGCGCCGGAGCCGCTGGCCAGGTAGATGCGGCCTCGGGGAGCTCCGTGCGCAGGGAAGTGCCCCTTGTTGCTCCGCTCCGAGGGACCTCGCGCAGGCAGGACCACGCTTGGCCCCCGCATCCTCTGCCAGGACCTTCCCACCCAACCGAGCCAGCTCCGGACAGCATCGGAGCCATCCAGGAGCGGTGCTGCCTGCAGGAACGGGGGAATCCTGGAGCCCACAGGGGCTGGACAGTGTGGGTCCAGGTCCCTCTCATGTCCTGGGGCTCAGCTTGTGCATCCCGCGACTCCTCCGCACCGCACGGCGAAGAGACAAGCAAGGGGACAACTGGGGGATCCCCTGAAAGCTGCTCTCCGAGACCACACGAACGCAGCCACATCCTGTAGGAACAAGGCCTCCAGGCTTCCTTTGATTGCTCTTCAACGTGCAAGGAAAAAAAAGAGGAGAAAAAAAAAAGAAAAATGTCCCTGGGATGTGAGCAGGTCTGGGAAATTTTAAGGATGCAGAAGAAAAGGGGCATGGACGTGGCAGAGCTGCGACCTGCAGGGACAGACATCAACCTCAGCCGTTGCTTCTGACTCAGGGCTGTATCCCGCTTGCGATAACCAATCAGCACCAGCAGCACTTAGGAGCTGGAGAAATTTGCAGGTTTTTCCACAGTTTATTCTAGTAGAGGCATGTTTTTTTTTTCCCTTGCAGAATCAAAATAATCTTTGTTTTCGTGCCAGTTCCTGGAAGCAGTTCTCCATCACCTACTGCTCCAGATCAGTTTCCCCACACAGGAGCGTCTGTTCCCCGTGTGGACCAGCACAATCCTCCATGGTTAAAGGGCTGCGAGCCGCACACCTGGAAGGTTTTCCCTGGCTCTCCCATGGCTCAGACCGGATCCAATGCCAGCAGATCCGAGCTCAAAGCTCTGCTCACCCAGCTCACCAGAGGGAGATGCGGAGGAGCCCTGGGGATGCACGGCACATCCCCCAAGCCCAGTGCAACACTGGCCTCTTCCCTGGCCACCATGCAGCCATCCCCCTTCCCAGCTTCCTGGTAGCACAGAGCCCTTTCCAGACTGGAGCAGGATGTTATCCTGACTCCGAGCCCCTTTTCTCTCTGTCACCCACCTTGTGGTGCCATCCCTGTCTCTGCTGGGTCATTAGAAGAATGCTGCACATCGTCGACACACGGAGCTCTCAGGACCACAGCTTCCTCCCAATGGAAACAGGGATTCCAGTCCTTTGAGGAGAGCTGGAAACAGGGACCTAT